AGTGGACACAAAAGAATGAAGTGATGAAACACATAAAAGAAATACTCTGTGAATTACCTTTTCAGATTACCTGAGAACAGAGATGGGCATATATCCAGCAGATAACCAATTAATAGTTTTATAAACAGATAAGTAGAGTTTATAAGCTTGTTTCTCACACTGTCTCTTCAACATACTTTCGGTACAGCTGCATTAAATTGAGATTCCAGTTGCTAAAACCATAAAGGTGTCAAATTCTTCCTTCACCAGCAACTTCTGCTGCAATCTCAGATTCCTGTAGCTACTCAGTTAAGACTATATGTGTGTACACACAAACACACAGACTTTGATGCTATTGAAATTTAATAGACATTCATGAAATTTAATCTCATTCTGTTTACGTTTCTGCATCACAAAACTACTTCTAGGGGATTCTTTTTCCCCATCAGTTACATCTGATTCCCAATTTGCATATTGACATGGTCTCTCTCCTTTTTCTGTTCTTTTATACACAAGTCAGTACTGCTTATCTGTAGAAAACGAGGCTACAGTAAGCCACGTTAATATCTAAGTTTTATAAAGCAACTTATAAACCTTTGCTGCTGTTGATAAGAACTGGGTTGTCAACAAAAATCGGAGCATGGATTTTAAGGCAAAAGCATATGCTTCCTGGACACAATTTTGAATGGGAAGTGTTTAAAAAAAAAAAAAAAGACACTAACAAATGAAAACTCAGTGATCTGGAATTCATACACCTGTTTTACAATATAAAGTGTGGGGGGAAAATAAAAAGAAGATTACAGATTAATTTTCAAATTTAAAAAACTCACTTAGAATTTCACTAACAGCAGCAGAAACATGTTCACTATATTTACAGATATAACAAAAATTTTAAATACAGACAAGGTTGAAATAAAATCTTGCGATAGATATGAATATTGCATCCTACAAGTCAGGGTCTCTAAAGATGTTGTAACATGAAATGGCAATTTCTGTAACTTACTTTATGAAGAGATGAAAACCAATACAAAGGGACATAATATGCACACAGGAAGATTTTATTTGGCTCAGAACATCTACGTGTCATTTACATTTAAATCAATCATTTTATGTTTCTTCCAAATCAGTCCAAGCTCACATCCTATTATGCTTTTGATAAAGGACAGGCACCAAGATATTTATTCAACAGATGGCTTTTATCTGTTAAAAAGCCATCCTAAAATTTTTGAATGGGCATTTGAACATCTCTGAGTTTAAATTTCAAAATACTCTTGTCCAGTATCAATCATTTCTGCCATTTCATAACATCATGCCATAGCTCAAAAAGCTGAAATTACTTTCTTCTTCAAAGCCACTGCCACTTGAGAGTACCTCCTAGTATCACTCAGTTCTTATTCAGCCTGCTTTTACTTCTTTATTCTTACACAAATCTTACTTCTTCCTACTTAACATTAGCTTTTTTTAGGCTGTGCCCCAAAGAAATCTTCCTTGTGACAGACAAAGGAAGAGTCACCACTGTCTATCCAGAAAACAGATTTTGATTGTCGTCATAAAGATGTTATTATGGTAGAAGATCATCTACATTACCTTCTCACAAACATTCCTGTTTTTTCTGGAAATCTTGAGGTTCTAAATAGATATATTTGAAAGCAATGAGGAAATTAATCATTTGTAAGGCCTTTAGAGGAAGTGGCATAAACCCTCAGCGAACAGCCTGGAATGCAGGGTCAGCTGTATATACCTGTAGATTACACTATCTTTGTCACAGAGAATATCGTCTTTCCCTTGACTGAAAGCCTTTTTGAAAGGATCCCTAACATTTCTTCCCCTTGTGGCACTTCCAGCCCCCATCTAAGAGGATTTATTTTTGCTCAAGGCCACAGGTATTCACATACAATTCAGACAAGGTTATCTTTGCTGTAGGTAGGTGTCTGGTAGTAACTGTCTTTTTCCTAACTGTTAAAGAAACAGTGAGATATTAATATTCATACTCAAGTCTAATAATAATTACAACAAAATTATCAACATCTGAAAACTTTGCTCTACAAAAATGGTATGAACATTCAAATTAACATCCATTGAATAGATAACTTATTTTACTTCCTAGGTTCCACCCACAGGATGAAAAGTGCTGATGAAAACTGATAAGAAAATATACCTGCAGAGTTTGATCTCTAGAGAAGCTCCACATGATTTTCCCTCAGAAGTGCTGCAGATGAGGAAAAAAGTGATAGAGCTAAGGGCTAAGTTTGGAAGTACACAGCAGGGAAGTCCTCCTTGTACATGTTGATGATCTCACTCTTGAAATAGAAGAGATGGAAATCAACGTAATCATCTTTCTTTTTGCTCAATCAACTACGATCTTGCCAAGTTGTCTTGACAGAATAGCTCAACTTTTAATAATAATTTAGGGGAGAAAAGCTAAAAGTTCCTGTCCTGCTGAGAAATATAGCATATGCAGATTCTCACAAGAATACTTTCTTTTTTCTCCCAGAATACTATTCTAAATTCTGTACACGATCTTCACACATATTCCTCTCCCTTTGAGAGTTCAGTTGTATGACAGGAATCAGACAGAAGATGGTCCCTTCCTTCCTCTTCCTCTGCCACAGGTAATTTCCAGCTACTGTTTCTGTTCAGATGTTGTTGTATCTATGCTCCAGCAGTTCACAGACTATATGAAAAACTGCTTACTTAAAAATGAATAAATTATTTTGTAATTATTATTTTTAGTTCCAGAAAGTGTTATTTGTTTTTGGGTTTTTTTCCAGTAGAGCATCACAGAGCTCCTGTATGCTGTAGCGAAACAGTTGAAATAACACAAATGGAGGAAAAGTAGCTCCTCAATCAGTTCTGCCACTGGAGACACAAGCTATCATACAGCACCACAGCTTGTAGATTTGCAAGGAGGACTTCCCAACTTCATTGTAAATTTGAGACTGCAAGCTCATTTCTGCTCTCTCATGTAAGTTTGGACAAACTCCAAAGTAACAGAGCAAAAATGAAGCTTGTGGAAAAAAGTTGGCTCCATTTGAGTGCCTAAACCTAATATTGATAATTAGGTTTGAGAACAGAAGTAAAACTCAAAAGTGCTTAGCTAGTTCAGATACAGTTTTAGTGGGATAGACTGTCCACAAGCATATCTGAAATAAGGTCCATTTCTATTCAAAAGTTTAAATATAGCTTTAGGCAGACTTGAGTCCTAAAAACTTCAGGTACCTACATTTTACATTTCATCACTGTTTTATTTATCATTCTGCCCTTACAGATTATACATATTTTTTTTCTCAGCTGTAACCAAGAAATATCTCTATACCATACAGTCATTAACTATCCTAATAAGACCATCTACTATCAAAGAGATACAGTATGCATTTTTTTAATTGGTATCCTGGTGCATCTTTCCATCTTGGTGCCATAAGATATCCTGAGCTCAAAGTTAAGGCATAAGTAAACTAGTCATGTTTTGACTGTGCCATAATAACCTTCTAAGAACCACTAGTTCCTTTTTTATTATTTTTTTATTCTTCCTACCTGAAGCAGTTCCAGTCATATGTTTTCTTAATTATTATTCCACATACATTTCCAGTACCCCTAAATGCTACTTACAAGTTAATTCAGAGGGGCAAAGAGCAAAAAGACTTTGAAAAGTAAGCATCCTCACCATTGTCCCCATTGCTTTTGAACAGGATACCCATTCTTAGAGCATACACAAATGCAAGCCAGAGGACTGTAAGCAGAATAGAACTTCTGATAAATCATTCCCTGGACAAGTAATTTTGGTAGGCAGTTGGGGAAGGGCAAGATAATTAGTTATTTATTAGTTCAAGAATGGAGCAGGTACTCCCATTTTTTGACATTCAGTGCTTCACATGAAATATGACCAATACATTTCACACTCTTTGAATATGTGGCCAAGTTGTTCCCAGCACATAATTTTTTCTGTCTTCACTTGCCAGATTTCCCATTGCCAGGGGGCACAGGAGTCTCTGACCACCCAGTATTTGACATGCTGCAATAATTTACATTCTCCCGCATACATAGGCAAAAACCAAACAATCAAGCTGAATGACCACCTTTCATATTCAGAAGCTTTTGTTCCAAAAACACAAAACACACATGCAGTGCATTTATTAGATTCTTACATGACCATTACACACAGCAGCCTGTGAATGTCACTGTGAACAAGAGGAAGTCATTGCTTTGAAGAGTTTAGTGTAAGAGCTTTAAGTAAATTAAGATGTTAACAGGTCCTGCACTCCCAAGTTGTATTAAGAAAAAAATTCAGCCTAGTTTACAAAGAGGAATGCTGTGCTGAATTCAAACTTGAAGTTGCACAAGCAGCAACAGTAACCCATACCTCCCTAGCTACATAAACAACCAGCTTGCTTTCTAAATTTGAATGTATTGCTACAGAACTAAGAAACGTCCTGGAGTTAAGAAGACCACAACTGACCAACTGTTACATTTTGCTAGGTTCACTATTGTCACACTATCACACAGACTCTCAGTTTCTCCTGCCTTTACACATGCAGTACAGCTATGTATAATTTCTTCAGAATTGCACTTTAAGCCTAAAGGTTGTTGATAACTTGGCAAAAGAAAAGTAACCCCTGAAGAGATGATGAATTTCAGATAAATATACTGATAGTATGTGATGACTCTCATTAACTCCATATTACTGAAGGTCTGTATATTCGATTGACTCTTGAAACATTAAGTCGAGAATTTTCTTGACAATAGCTTTGCTTTATACTTATTTTTTCCTAAGAAAGCTATTTTACCATTCAAGATCTACCAGCATTTTGTGGTAGACAGCACAGAGCATAATATTTCTTGTAGGTTTGTTCTCTTGAAGAGACACAAAAGTGTCATCTGAAAAACAGAGCTATAGCTGAAAACAGAACTAAATCAGCAATCAAAACAACTTATCCCAGTGATATTTATTGTCTTTTTCAAAAGCCAGTATTGATGTCAAGACCAGTAGTCCAGATAAAATTCTTTGTTATCAGGTCACTTACCATATTTATTGATGATACAGGACCAATGCTGTTGACATAAATGTCAACATCAATAACTGTTGGTTTTACTGTGGAGAAAAAAAAATTATTTAATATTATTTTGCAGAAAACATAAGTAATCACTTCAAATATTTTCTTCCCCAATAACTGTAAGGTCTACTCTTCAGGTAGAACTACTAAGAAATAAGGATTAAGTATTTTTCAGGAAGACAAGGTTCTTTTCCTACCACCCAACAAAAATTGCCATAAATTACTGCCTGTGTTACTTTATCATCATGATCCCCATTTATCTCAGCAGCAATTTGTTAAAGAAACTTTCAGTGCTAAGCACAGTGCCTCAAAGTCAAAACCTAAGATGACTGACATAAAACTAGAAATAATACAGCATATCACTTTTTTCCCATTGCCTCAACATGCAGATCCTTTAGCATGTTTGTTCCACTCCCAACATTTTTTCCATATTTTCTCATCAGCTCTAAAATCATCCTAACTTAGAGTAAAATCACTATGAAATCCATTTAGCCAAACTAAGCAACTTCCCTCCTTTCGATTCAGACTCATTCCCTTCAGCCCACATTGCCTTTGCACTCATTCATCCAAAGGTTTTTGAATTTGATTTGGTTTAGTCAATGCAAGGTTCTCACAAGATCTTCCCAGTTTTCAGACTTCCAGGATTTAATAGGCCAGAACAAGCTCTGTACTCCTTTCTTTAGCTGAGGCCACTAGGATTTATCTTCCTTTTAGCACCTTTGGTTAATAATGCCACTCTTACACTGAAAGGCGCATTCATTTTTTTACTTAAACTGCCCTTCTTCCAACCCCACAGGGTATACATTAACCTCTAAATTGAGATTCAAATTGGTCTTTGACTTTCTCCAGGGTTATCTGACCTACAACTAAGTAAGAATAAATCCTGTTCTAATCTGCATAGTCAGAACTGATGCAAACTTGGCCCTAGGAGGCCAACAGCTTCTGTTAGACGTCTCCCTTTCCCACAGAGGTATCTTCCCCTCTCCATGGTCTTCAAAAATCTCCAGAGAGCAATTCAACCTACTGAAGTTTGGGAACTATGGTGAACTTGGGACTTTTTTGTACCAATCCTCAAGCCCCTTAGAACAAGGAAATGCAGGTACATCAGCCACTCAAAACTCAGAGAGCTTTCCTCAGGGAAGTGAGGAACAGTTAAATACCACGGTTCTGTGGGAAGTTTATCTCAGGTGGATAACAGTTAATTTGTCTAAAGCTTAGTAAGCCATCCGGCACAAAGCGGAAGATAGACAGGAATCTTCACATGTAAAGATGTATAATTTTTGCTCGCACCCCCCAAACTTCAGACTAACAATGAGATGCCAAAAAGTTTTAAACTATCTGAAAATTTAGATGGTTCTGAAAAAACAGGCAGACTGGCTTGTCATGTAAGACTTTGGTATGTACATATCATTGGGAAGACTAGATCTAATGTTGCAAAAACAGACATGAAAGTGGGTACAAATAGTGGTTAAAGACAATAATCATTCTCTCTAATTCATTAAGTACCACACTCTTCTTTGACTGCACATGGTCAGAACATCCAGGATTATTTAAGGTCATGGTTTCAAATTGTCTGAAATACTGGCTTATAAACTCAGATCTTCCCTTCAGCAAAAGAAAATTTGAACTCAGCTGAACAAGCACAACTGATTAATGCAACTCAAATGGTACCCAGCTAATAACTAAATAGGAGTCTAGCAGCTTCTGGTAATGAGACTTGCCTCAAAATGCAGTAATAAATGTCATTACATAGGAATTGGTAATAGCGGGGAACTACAGCTAGGTCTTTTACCAAGATAGCTTACATGGAATAAAGGGCTCTGATCTTTTTAGGGCTTATGCACATACCTAGCTGGAAGTTCAACACTAAGCAGTTCAGGCAATATTAATGGGACTAGACTTAGTAATGCAAATTGGCATGCAATTGAATCTTGGCCAGGATCAGGGACAAAGTTCAGGACCAGAACATGGTGCTTGGAATCCAGTTTGTTTAATCATTGCAGTTAAGTATATAAATAGATTATGAGATGATAATTTCTCCTGAATGTGCTGGGCCAAATTCTTTTCCAGTGAAAAAAAGTGATGCACTGCTTGTTAATGCTAAAGAGAATTTGATCTTATGCACAGTAAAGGTCTAATCTTGAAACAGAAGAAAACTAAGCAGCAGCCACTTCTTATGTCAAATTAAATCAGTGTCTAGCCTCAGACATTCCCCGTGAAATTCAAATTAAAATAAATGAAAAAAATACAGGTAAGCTATTATATCACTACAACAACAACAAAGACTGAAAGTTCCTTTGAATTATATTTTGTTTGCCTAGGCAGAAGCAGAAAATACAATTGCAATATGATTCTATGGTAAATATGTGCTCAGGTTTTGACAAAAAAGACAGAAGAGTACAGTTCTTGTCCGTGTGGTCTCTCGTGAATATAAACAGGTACAAACTGAGAGAACCATCAGGTATAAATTTTAGATTTGTTATCACAGGATTTTAATTCAAAATACCAACCATAATGAGGCAAAGATTTGTGAACACTCAGTTCATGGACTGATTTAAGCCATGCATGGAGAGCTGCAGATCAAGCCTTCTTTCTTGTACTAAGAAAGTGCTCACAGTATTGTTGATTGAGCAATGAAAGTGTTAATACCTCACTAAAAGTTGGCAATGAGATTACAAATGGACAATCAGCTCCAGCACTGGTCTGATATTGGCATCAGCCCAAAATAGTTCTAAAGAGCTGTCAGAAACTTAGAAAAAAATACTGGCAGAACCATGTTGTATATCACGTGTAGGGGAGCAATTAAAGGTTGTCAACAAATGTAACAACATTCTCAAAGTTCTTTGAAATAATCTTTAATATATGGTAGTTAAATTTCCCTAAAAGGCAATATAAGCGCATCCAAGTAACAGCAGCATTATGCTGCTACACAGTGCTATCTAAGGTTAGCTAACTGCTTATCACAATCATTTCATCTTCAAACATGTTGGTTTTAATTGAGGGGATTTTTCAAGCCAATCAAAATATCTGCAAACAAAGCTAAGGTCACACCAATATTTAGCCGACAGCCCCCATCTGATCCAAATGCCACGGCTTTGAGGCAGATGGAGTGTCTATATTCCGGTCAGCCTTGTGACTATCACATTGCAAAGACACATCAGAGTGAAATTCGTCTACAGACTTTAGACAGTTCAAAAGACACCTAGCCACAGGAGTTGTGAGTTCAATGCTTCCTGCAAAGCTCACTTAAGAAGCCAAGTGAACACTTAGTTAGTGTAAGGCTAGGTCAGGTATGTCTGGACAACAACAAAACACAGAAACGGCTAGAATAATGCCCTGATCACAAATACTCATGCAGGCCAACTATAGGATTTGTGTAGTCCTGCTTTATAGATTTACACTGGTGAAATAAACAGTACCAGAGCTTGAATCCAAATAAAATATGTGAAGACTTTACTCTTGGACATATGCAAGGTGATCATGTGTGGAAAAAACTCAACAAATAAATCATGAGAATATTAAAAGAGTTTTGAGGAAATGAACAAATGGATAGTTACACAACTTCACATGTTTCATGCTTTAAATTATCTTGTCCTTTTAAAATATCTCTTAATTTTTGATAGATCTCCACTATTCAGAATTGATGCTTATTTCATGAATGAAACCACTGTGTTTGCTTCCTACAGAAAGCTTCCTCCACATTTGAAGTCTGTCCAAATAGCATTTATGTTCCTGCACAAATCATAAATATTTAGAATTATTTTTTAAAGTTTAATGTTTAGAAATATTTTTATTGGATGCTCCTTTAAACATGAGTGGAACTGGCTGAGCTGTCATAAATTTTAAAATAAAGTTAAAATTAATTTTTGTTGAGAGTTAACCTTTCTTACATTGTTCAATTATTCTAAATTATTCTAGTTTTACCCCAAACAGTGGTGGTAAAAATGCTATGGATCAATATACACACATTTATAGAAGCAAAGCGACTAGCACTAGGTTTTTAGAAGGCACACAACCATACAACAAACACCATATGAGCTCTGTTCCAGAAATACACAGCCACTTAAATTCTGCCTAAGTTCCACAAGACTTCTGAACTCAAAAGACTAACAAGGTTGGCTTTATGGAAATGTTTTTTGAAATTACTCTATAATGATATCTTATGTTATCTCATTAGCACATGAATTGCTATTTTGAAACTGGGATAAAGCTGTAATAAATTATTACACAGTTATCGGTAACCATAGTAGTAGTGGTTATAGTGTTAATGTTTACTATGCGTTAGTGATGATGACTATTAATATTTTCCTACATGACATTATAGGCAACATCTAATTACCTGTTTGTTCCTGTAAAACAAACTGCTATGCTAACAAGTCACTTCTCAGGACTAATTGTGGTCAGCTAAAACTTCTATATTTTAGGACAACTTACCACATCTGAAGAAAGACATAGTAACAGGAAGTGTTGAGTCACCACCCCTGGAGGTATTTAAAAGACTTATACATGTGGCACTTAGGGACATGGTTTAATGGTGGACTTGGCAGTGTTGGGTTTACAGTTGGACTCAATGATCCTAAAGGTCTTTTCCAAGCTAAATGATTCTATGATTCTATCCTATGATTCTACAAAGGTAGATTAAAAAAAAAAAAAGGAAAATAAAAAAAAAAAAAGATTCATTCTTCCTGCACAGAAGAGAATGGGCTTGAACAACAGGCAGAGGCCAAAGCCCTTTACTTGCTACAGCCAGAGAAACTGTGACAGAACTGTCATCCCTATGTTTTTAGGATCAAACTACCAAAATGAAACTGCAAATGAAATCAAAAAGACAATCAAAAATTGGGTGCAGACTTGAAAGAAAGTTTGGATGACAGCAATACCAGAATGAGAACACAGTCTTCTGAACTGTGTACTGCGTCCAGCTCTGGAGCCCTCAGCACAAGAAGGACATGGACCTGTTGGAGCAGGTCCAGAGAAGGGCTACAAAAATGATCAGGGGGCTGGAGCACCTCTCCTATGAGGACAGGCTGAGAGAGCT